AGGGTTGGAAAGGATCCAAGCTTGACCAATGGGTAAGGGGTTAACATGACATTGCCTTATAGGGTTACAGAGGTAGGTTAAGGGGTGGAGGACAGGAAAACAGGAATTTTCTTTTGCTGTTTAAGCATTCCTATTGTTCATATCCTCCATGGTGCTTTTCCAAAATCTACGGGGTTTACTACAAATTCCCACATGGTTTCCCCAACACTAGGATAATCTGGGATGTCCCCATAGCAGGAGACAGGCTCTGGTTACAGCAGGAGGTGAACCATGGAGTGGAGCCCACTGAGAGCCCTCGGGGTCCCAGGGGTGCCAGGCTGGGGACACCCAAATGCCTCTCAATGTCTGAGACAGTCACAGGGGGACAGAGACCAATGCCAGGTCTGTCACATGTGTAGGTGCCACTCTTGGTGACAGTGAGGTGTTCAGGTCCCTCCTGCCCCCAGCACTGCCCATCCTTGTACCAGGTGGTGGCACCGGCGGTCCCCGAGCCCTGGCAGGTCAGGGTCACCCAGTCCCACAGCTCCGCCGGCCCCCAGGGGGCTCCACCAGGAGCTGGGTGGTCTGGGCACCTGTGGGTGACAGGGGACACCAGCCTGCCAGGGCCAGTGAGGGGCTGGGGACAGCGGGGTGGGGCCATGGCATCCCCCGAGGACTCACCAGCGAGGCCGAGGGTCTGGGCTGGAAGGGAGAAGGGACAGGGCTGGGTGGGGGTCATGGGGACACTGTGGGCACCCCATGTTTGCACACGTCACCTCCACCAGCCCTACAGCACCTGTCCCCACAGCCATAAATCCATGGCCCTGTGCCCATCATCCCATTCCAATGGCACCTGTTCTCCCGGCCCATCCCCATGCAACATGGCCCTTGTCCCTGTCCCTGCATCCCTGTTCCCCTGCAACCCTGTCCCCACAGCTACCCAAGCCCCAAGGCTCCTTCTGCTACATCCTTGTTCCCAAATCTCTACCCCCCTGTTCCTGTCCCCACATCCCAGTTCCCCTGTTGCTGGCCCTAAAGCCACTCCCCAACTCTGGTCACACTGGGCTCCATGCCCTGCTCTGGCTCTGCTGGCATTGGGGACCTCAGGGGACCCCACAGCCCCCCTGTGTCCCCTCCCCTCCCCATCCCCAGGGTGTCAGGCCCGTGCCCGGGGCACTCACCCCACAGGAGCAGCGCCACCTTCCCGGCCATCCCGGTGTCCCCAGCCATGTGCACTGGCTGTCACTCGCTGCTGTGGCCACCGCTCCCCTGCCTGGCGGCTCTTGGGATGAAGGGGAAGGAAGCGAGGTCACATCTGTCCCCATGTGTAGGTGGCCCTTGGTGGGGGCAGGGTGGGGATGCTGTTGGACATGGGAGGCAGGGTGGGACATGGTGGGGACATGGTGTTGCCAGAATCTGGGGTCTAAGGCTGTGTAGGGAGCCAGGGATGGGTGTCCAGGGGAATGGGGTGCCCAGGGATGGGGTCCCAGGGAAATGGGGGTCCCAAGGGTTGGGTGGACACAGACATGGGAATGAGGGTCCCAGAACAACGTGGCCTCCAGGGATTTGTGATCATGGGATGGGGGCCATGGCATGGGGGTGCCAGGGGAAAGGGGGTCCCTGTGAGAATGGGGGCCCTGGGGAAATCAAGGTCCCCAAGGGAAGGGGTGTCCCAGGGACTGGAATTACTGGGATGGGGTTCCTTGGGGTTGGCAATCCTGGGGAATTGCAGTCCAGGGATGGGGGTCTCAGGGAAGGTGGCACAGAAGGAAATTGGGTCCCAAGGTTGGGGTCCCAGGGGAATGGGGGTGCCAGGGATGGGTGGTGGCTGGGGGGGCCTGGGGGTCACAGCTCCTTCACGGGATGCCTCAGATTTTGGAGTGACCCAGGGCCCTGCAAAATCGCCCCTGGGGTGCTCATTTCCTGGCCAGGCATTGCATGGGGGTCCTGGGTAGCTCTGCCTCTGTGTCCTCCCTGACTTTTTTCTCTCTTTATTTCTCTTTCTTCCTTATTCTCCTTACTTTTTGCCATGTCCCCTCACCCCCGGTTCCTGGCTCAGCAATCCTGGGAAGCATCTGAGCAGTGAACGGGTTGGGGGGACCCAGGGGAGGGGGAAAATGGGGGGAAGGAGGTGCAGGGAAGGGTGGGGAGGCTGTGGGGGATGGAGGTGTTGGGCTGTGCCCCCTCAACACTTTCACTTTCTTTTTCCTGCACAAGAAGGAAGAGGCCGTTTGTGCTGAGAGTCAGATGGGAAAGGGGGGCAGTTCTGGCCTAGACAGCAAATCCAGGGGGGGTCCTCTCATGAGAGGATCCTGTCCCAGGGGGTGACACATCCTCGCATGGGGGGTCCTGTCCTGGGTATGGCAGTTCCAGAAATGTCCCTGCAAATTCCTGGCTGGGTGCCTGTCCCAGGGGTGGCACATCCTGGGGACCCCTGTCAATGCAAGGCTGGGGCCCAGCCATGGCCCAGCCCCACTGCACAGGGATGGCCATTGCCCAGCCCTGCTCTGCCCAGCCCCAGCTGGCAGCCAGCACCTGAGGGTCCCCCCTGCCCCCTTGGCTTTGATTCTGGCATCTTTAGAGCTGCTGCAGAGGTGAGAATTCTGTGGGTGGAAAAAGGCCCTGCCTGTGGTTTGCTCAGCCCTGCAAGAAGCACAAACCCAAAGGGAGCCCAGGCAGTGGCTCTGAGAGGGCCTTTGATGGTTTTCAGAGCAGGGCTGGCTGGAAACTGCCCCTGCGAGGGAACCAGTCCGGAAATGCAGCAACTCATTATTTTGTCCTTCTCAACAAGGGACTGAGAGAGCCCCAAAACTGCTGCAAATCCCACACCGATTTTCTCAACAACCTGACCTGCACCGTCCTTCTTGAACAAAACCTCCTGCCCTTTGGAACTTCCTGGAAAGAATGTTTGTGTTCTGGATTTGCACACCAGAAGAGAGGGAAAAGTGTGAAAATATTGAGCAGGGGCTGCACACGAGGGGCTGGGGAACAGGGGTGTCACAGCAGGAGCAGGGAGTGCCCAGGCAGGGGAATTCAGGGCAGGCTGGAGTGGATTTACCAGGGAATCAGACCCTGAGGCACACAGGGGCATTTCCACAGATTCCTGTGCACTGTCCCAAGCATGGACAGAGCTTCTCCCCTTCCTCCAAGGGAAGTCAATCAAATTTAAGAGTGGGAACGAGAAAAATGGGAAGAGTTCCTAAATATGGGCCAAGAAAAGGCTTCCTTAGGGGCTGGGTTGCTGCCCAGCAGGCAGGGAACAATCCCATGGAGCTGTTGGACACTCAGGGAGATTCCACCCTCTGTGTTATCCACAAGCAAACCCTGCTGTGGGATGCACCAAGGGGCTCCTAAAGGGAACCAAAAAGTCTCATTTCACTGTGATTTGTTTGTGGTTTTATTGTGGTTTTTATATCCCCGTATTTGTGTTTTTATTGTGTTTTGATTTCCTCTTGTTGGGAAAGCAATGATTAAAAGGATTCTATAAAGCAGAGCATTTTATACCTTGTCAGTTTGATTTTTCAGGAGTTTGTTTTTTGTTGAGAAAATAATGATATAGGAAAAGATTTATGCCTTTTTTCTATGGCTGTATAATTTTGTCACAGTCAATTGGGCATCAAGTGTTTCCTGAGATTGCTAAGACAGGAAATTTGAGTGACAGGAAAAAGCCCAGGGATTTGTGGGGCAGAGACCCAGAGCCTCCCAGGACAAGCCTGGGGTGCCCCAGGGTGGGGTCTGTGCTGGGCTCTGAGTCATCTCAAAATCTGAGACCAAAATTTGACCCCAAAATTGTCCAAAGCAATTGGGCATTGGGGAATTCAATCAGCTTGATCCTGGGATTTACCATCATCAGGGCAAGGTCATAAAAGATGCCTCCTTAAGTTTGGGCACCAAGAGGTAACAGGGCCCCACTGGGGACAGCAGGAATGCTCAAGGCCCACCCAGGACAGAGGACCCCAGGATGTGCCACCTCTGGGAAAGGAATCCCCAAGGATGTGGCACCCCCAGAACGAGGAGGAGCTCCCAGGGACAAGAGGCTGGGACAAGAGCCAGGTGTCAGCACAGCAGAGCTGCCCTTTTCCCTAAAGGCTGGACCCCTCGGGATGTGCCCCCTGGACAGAATTCATGTCCTTGCCTCAGCACAAACCGCTGCAGGAAAGAGAAAGAGTTGGGGGGCCACAGACAGGGAGCCCCATCAGCCACAGCCCTGAAACCACTGCCTGCACCCCCCAACCCCTTTTTTCCCTTCCTGGGATTCTCCCAGCTGTTCCCTGGGATAGTTCAGCCAGGAAATGCGGGGAGACAAGAAAAAGCCCAGGGGTGAGTGGGGCAGAGACACAGAACCTCCCAGGAGAGCCATGCCCCAGGGTGGGGACTATGCTGGGCTCTGAGTCACCCCAAAATCTGAGGCACCCCAGGAAGGAGCTGTGACCCCTGTGCCCACCCAGCCACTGCCCATCCCTGGCACCCCCATTCCCCTGGGACCCAACCATGGGACCCCCATTGTCTTGGTCTCTCCTCCCTAGGGACCCCCATCCCAGGACTGACATTGCCCAGCACCACCATTGCCGTGATCCCATCCCATGGGCTGCTTCTTCCCCAGAGCCCCTATTCCCGAGGGTCCCCTTTTTCCCCCTGCACCCCCAGCCCTGGCACCCACATGCTATGACCCCAAATCCCTGGGGACCATGTTCCCACAGCACCCCCATCCCTGAATCCCCCCATGCATGGAAACCCCAATTCCAGTGGACTCCCATTCTCCTGGACACCCATCCTTGGTTCCCCACATCCCCTGAGCCCCCCACTCCTGGCAACAGCATCCCCCACCATGTCCCCTGGCTGTCCCCAGCCTGCCACAGCCCGTCCCCAGCTTGTGGCCACCCTGCCCCCACCAAAGGCCACCTACGCATGGGGACGGACGTGACCTCGATTCCTTCCCCTTCATCCAAAGAGCCGCCAGCCAGGGGAGCGGTGGCCACAGCAGCGAGTGACAGCCAGTGCACATGGCTGGGGACACCGGGATGGCCGGGAAGGTGGCGCTGCTCCTGTGGGGTGAGTGCCCCGGGCACAGTCCTGACACCCTGGGGATGGGGAGGGGAGGGGACACAGGGGGGCTGCAGGGTCCCTGTCCTTTAGACCTCTGTGTCACACCAATGCAACCACTCAGACATTTTTCAGCGACAGCCCCCTGCCCCTGTGCCTCTGACTGCACAGTGCCACCCCCACCCAGGCCTGTTCCTTCTCCCTTCCAGCCCAGATCCTCGGCCTCGCTGGTGAGTCCTCAGGGGATGCCATGGCCCCACCCCGCTGTCCCCAGCCCCTCGCTGGCCCTGGCAGGCTGGTGTCCCCTGTCACCCACAGGTGCCCAGACCACCCAGCTCCTGGTGGAGCCCCCCTGGAGGCCGGCGGTGCTGTGGGACTGGGTGACACTGACCTGCCAGGGCTCGGGGACCGCCGGTGCCACCACCTGGTACAAGGACGGGCAGCACTGGGAGCAGGAGGGACCTGAACACCTCACTGTCACCAAGAGTGGCACCTACACATGTGACAGACCTGGCACTGGGCTCAGCCCCCCTGTGATTGTCTCAGAAGGTGAGGGGGGTTTGGCCGTCCACCGCCTGGCACCCATGGGGACCCCAAGGGCTCTGGGTGGGCTCCGCTCCATGGGTCACCTCCTGTGTGACCAGAGCCCATCCCCTCTTCTGGGGACATCCAAGAGCATCCCCGAGCGAGAGGACCCTGTTTGTGGAATTGATGACCTCTGGTGCACTGGGTGTGACTCAGTGAGGGTCCCGATGTCAGCGGGACCCTTGAGATCCCTGTGATGTGATGAATCCCCTCTGTCCCCCAGACTGGCTGGTGCTGCAGGTGCCGGCACGGGTGCTGCTGGAGGGGGACACGGTGACACTGCGCTGCCGGGGTTATTGGAAGAGCACGGTCACCTCGGTGTCCTTCTACCACGAGGGAAAGGAACTGGGGGTGTTCCCCGATGTCACTGAGATGTCCCTGTCCCCTCTGCAGCTGAGCCACAGTGGCCACTACAGCTGCAGGGGCAAGGTGGGATCCTCGGGGTGGAGGGAGTCAGCACCAGTGACAGTGACAGTGCACGGTGAGCACCATAAAGTCAACACCCCGACACCCCCACAGCCTCTCCCCAGGGACTCGGGGCCAAAATTCCCTCTCCCCTCTCCTTCCCTGAGCTCTTCTCAGTGCCGGTGCTGGAGGGTCCCCCCGGCCCACCCAGGGGTCCCTCCTGACTCTCAGCTGCCTCAGCACCCCCAGCCCCCTGCGGCCCCGAGCCCCCCTCCTGCACGTGTTCTACCGGGATGGGAAGATTGAGGGTCCCATGGGAGTTCAGGAATCCTGAGAGCAGTCAGGGCCCCTGGGGACCCCACAGTCACCCCTCCCCTCTTTCCTCTGCAGCTGCCAGGAAGCACCAGGAAAGGTGGGTGCAGGCTCCAGCCATGATACACCTTTTACCCAAACCCCCAGCACCTCCCATCCCCTTCCACACACCCCCTTATTCCCACAGGGCCCCTCAAGACCCCCTGGCACCCCCACTGGAGGATCCTCAGGCGATGTACATGGAGCTGCAAAGGCAACCGTGGGAGCCCAGTGACATCTATGACAATCTACACCAAAAGTTGTGATGCTCTGGGAAGCGGGAGGCACTGGGTGACACTGGGGGTGCTCCCTCCATGGCTCCTGTGGTTGCCCATCCTTCCAAGGGAGGTGGTCATGGGTCAGGGGGAGGCTACACAGGGCACCCTCTGCTCCCCATTTCCTCTCCCAGTACCCCCAAGGGCTCCCCCATCCGTTTGCTCGTACCTGCAGGGGCTCCCCAGCCCCATCCAAGTGTCCAAGTACCCTCAGGGACTGCCCCATTCTCTCCCCACAGTGCTTGCAGTACACCCAGGGCTTCCCCATTCCCCCTCCCACTACCCCTGTCCCATCCCACTGTAAAAGGGGGATTTGGGGAGGATTCTTGCTGAAAGGTTTCTCGGATGAAAATGAAGCACAAACACGGCAATATTATATCTGAGAACTGTTTATTGATAAAGGAGGGGAAGGGTTCTTACCAAAGGGGGAGAGAAGGGAGTAGAAAGGGAAAAGGACAGAGAGGGAAACAGAAGACAGGGACAGCGTTACCGCAAGAAGCCCGGGCGCTCTGTGGGCATCAGCTCGGCAGATGGAGTGTGTGTGCTGCAAGCCAGGGCGAGCCCACATGGCTTTTGTGAGTGGCTGGGCGTGATTTCCAAGGACGGTGTTATAAGTTGCGGTGAGGAACCAACCACCGACAAGTGAGTCCAAATAAATTGTAATTTATTAATTGATAGAGCAAGAGATAATAGGCAAATTACAGCGCTGGGTGCAGCCAACAAAAGGCTTGCACCCACCCGGGAGCGCTGGGTGTAGCCCGGGAGTCACCGCTCCACCATCAGCCCACGCCACTTGGCAGTTCAGTCCTCCTTTTTATCTGTTGTTGTTGGGTGGCCTTCCGGTGTTCTCTGCGTCTGTGCCGATAGTTGCTAGGGGGTCTTATTCTACCTTCTGGTGGTCGCCTGGACGAAGGCTCCTGTCCTCTCCCTCGAGGTCCTACAATAGCCTTTACCATATATAGGCACATAGCTACATATAGTTACACTTACATAGCTACATATAGTTACACTACATTTGCTTAGTCTTTCAACGTATTAGCTTCTGACAGTTTGTGGTTTAAGCCTTATGACAGTTATTTTGCAATATATTAGCCCGTTATATTCATCTTGCAACATATTAGTTGGTCACATCTATTCTTGCCGTTTTTCTATTATTGGCTTTTCCCCCTTCTATAGTTTTGATGAACAAACTAAGACATTAACTCATTACAATTCCCCCCTTTTACCCATTTTGTTCATCAAATTGTTTTAATGCAAACAAAACCCTTATAATAGATTTAAGTGAATCTCATATCTACTTGAATTAGATGTTCTCCCCCCCTCTATATTTCTAGTTACTTATTCCTATGTCCCCTATCACAGATTTGCCAAAGAGGGTGGGGTCCTACCTTAAAGATCTTACATACTCTTTGATTTCCCTGGGGAGCTGTCTTTTCAGATTCCCGGAGTGTGTTAGTCCTCAAGGGAACTTCAGTATTTGAGAGGCAGTAAGCATGCTCCACTGTGGGTCGCAGGTCCCTTTGCCTTTTCCTCTCTGCCTCACCTGTCGATCCAGTTGCATCGGGCCACGGGGTGAACCATCTTCTCGGCAGCAGAGGTATTTGCTCAGGGATCTCTTTTGTTTTTGCCTTTCTCGATATGGTTCCCAATTCCTTTTCCAAAGGAGAACTGCAATAATACCGGGCATCCATTTCCAGTAGTATTCCTTTTTATGAAGGGAGTGGGTTTACTAGCATGAGAAAAACATGCCTCTGAATTTAGACCCTTAGTAAAGATTCCCTATTGCCTGTAAAAATTCATGTCTTACCCACTTCCCCAAAAGCTCCCCTAATTTTAGAATGGTTTCTGTTAATTCCCCTTTTAACACCCTCTATAAATACCAGCCGGAGGTCTTTCTCGGCAGTATTGGACCCACCACCACCATTTTTGGCAAATCCTGCAAAAAAAAAGCATACAAAAGGATAACATTCCCACCCCTCAATTCTGCAATAGATTATACAATCCTTTGTCATTGCATCTAGCATCCATGATTTTTTGTTGGTCTTTGGGAATAAACCCGTAGGCGACAATGGTGCCAATATTCGTTCTCGGCATACCACTTAATGCTAAGTACAGAATGAGGATAAGGCACAAATACATTTTTATCACACTCAAAAGTGATTATACGTGATTTTTTACAATAAGCTAAAAGAGTAACATATGTGCAGATTTCATTGGAGTTGATTGCCCAGAAAGCTTGTTCTCTGTTCTCGAGTAATTGATGTATATTCTGAATAGACCTGGGCCCACCAATAAACGCCTCTAATTGTCTTTCCCACACAGAGTTCTTCTGGTTTTCATGATAACATTCTGCACATAAATTTTAAAATAAATGTCTAGCATAAATCCATTTTAGTGTTTTACATTTACCACATTCGAGCAGGATCCAACTTTTTTTGTTCCCTCAATTAGCCTGTGTCCTAACTATTTTACCTCTTTTTCTACAAACTGCAATTTAGATTTCGAAACTTTTAGCCCTTTGGGACTAAGGAAATTTAACAACTTTATACTTCCCTTTCTAACTGATTCTTCCTCTTTTCCTGCTATTAGCAAGTCGTCCACATACTAAATTAAGGTGGTCCCTTCCTCAGGGTGATATTCCTGCAGGATCTGTTCTAACGCTTGTCTGAACAGCTTAGGGGATTCTGTAAATCCCTGGGGCAATACTGTCCATCGAAGTTGTTGCTTGCGGTTTGTGTCTGGGTCTTCCCATTCAAACGCAAAATAATCTCGTGATGTTTCCTTAAGTGGGCAACCCAAAATTCGTCCTGAAGATCTACCACTGTGTAATACCTGTCCTCAGGCCCCAATTTACTGAGTAAGGTATATGGATTAGCTACCACAGGGAACCTTTCAACTGTTCTTTTATTAATTTCTCTCAAATCATGTACTAACCTATAGCTCCCATCTGATTTTCGAACAGGTAGTATGGGAGTATTGAAGGGTGACATACAGGGTTCAAGCAACCCCTGCCGCAATAGCAGTTCAATTTCTGGTTTTAATCCCTTCCTCCCTTCGCTGGATAGAGGGTATTGCTTTACCCTGATAGGAATTTTGGGATTTTTAATGGTTACCTCAAAAGGAGGAATATCCAATCTGCCCACAGTGTCTGGAGTGTACCAAACTTCTGGGTTAATTGCTTCTTCATCACTGATCCTTAAAGGGCATAATTTTACACTTAATTTATCTTCAATTATCTCTATCCCTATTCCTAATTCAATCATAAGGTCCCACCCCAAAAGATTATAATCGGCTTCTGGGACCAACAATAAGGACCCTATTCCTATTTTAGAAGGCCCTTCAATTACCATATCTTTTATCATAGGTACACCAAAGGGTTCCCCCTTAGCTCCCACTACCTGCACTACTTCTGCAGACAGATTACATCCTTTAGGGAGAGTTTGTACCGTAGATCGTTCGGCACCCGAATCCACAAGGAATTCGTATACCTGTTGCTGGGGACCTATTTTAAGCTTTACCAGGGGCTCCGTTGTTTCTCTTTTCCCAGCAAGTAGAGCCCCTGACACCCCTAGTCCCGAAACTGTTTCTCATCTGCTTGCCTTTCGTGGCATTCCCGTCTCACGTGTCCTTTCTTCCCGCAGTAATAGCAAACGACCCCACCCCCCTTTTCTCTTGCTTGATCTTTCTTTTGCATACCTGGAACCCTCTGACTCATTTGCCCCTTCTTTTGACCCTCTCATACTGCTTCCACCATTATCCTCATTTGCTTGTGACTTTCATCTTCCCTTCTGACATACACCTTCTGGGCCTCCCTTAACAATTCATCTAAGCCTCTGTCCTGCCAATCCTCCATCTTCCCTAACTTTCTTCTAATATCCACCCATGCCTTGGCTACAAATTGCATTTTCAGCAAAGCTTGCCCAACAGGAGGAAGTGGTGCATCAGGATTTTCTGGGGGTGGTAAATAAGGTGGGGGAGAAGGATCAGGCATTTCCCAATTATCTCCTGATCTCTTCTTCTTTTTCTCAGATTTCAATACAAATAGGGAGAAACGGGTCTCACCAACAATCCATAGGGCAGCATATTCACTTCCCTCCACACTAAATGGTTCCTTTGAATTAACATATGTGTTCAGGGCTTGACAGATCCAATCCTCAAATGCTCCAAACACAGACCAGTAAAGGCTATCTGCCCTGATCTGTTTCCCTCCCCAAACCTCCATACATTAATGGATCATACTTAATCATCAAGCCTAAAGGGCTATCTGGAGGTATTGAGGGGAGCCCTATGCGAGGTCTTTTCTTTATGGGATTAGAGGGCTTGCTCTTCCCCTGTCCCATCTTCCGGAGTATCTTTAGAGGGTTTACTCTCCCCTTATCCCCTCCCGGAGCGTCTTCTTCCACACACTCTCTCGCTTCCCCCCGTTCGTGGCCCAGTCCCTCGCGGGTAC